AATCAAGTATTTTATTAATCAATGCATAATACACAGGAAGTGTATTATCAATTTAAATCGAAAAGTAACAACATGAAATTAAGCAGCTCATCTATATGCCTAGTAGCCGCAACATTAAACCAAGTATACAATGTAAAATAAAACAATTCCCTAATCTGCTCTATTATCCGTGATTGGCCTTCAAAACGACGACTGTTTCTCTCTCCACACACATCATACGATACAGCCCAGAATAAGGTCTCATACAAGTTTGTTATCCTTGTCACGAAATTTTCTCCTCCATGCCTTTAACATGTCCTTCATACGCCTTGGTAACACTCAATCCATATGTTGCGTCGCCAGAATATCGTTTCACGATAAACGAGCAACATCACAATGAAGGAATAAGTGATCAATCGTCTCCTCATCCCTCTTACACATATAGCATCACTCTTTAACATAAAAACCCTTTATACGAAGGTTATCCACCGTTAACACCTGTCATCTAACCATCGTCCATAGTAACAATGTCACGCGTGGGGGCAGTTTACACTTCCATACCATTTTTTAGGGGAATGAACTCTCTACAAAACCCAATAAGGATCTAAAATAAGTGCGAATTGAAAAAATATTATCTCGTGTCAACCTCCGTCTACAATCACCTTCTCCTACCATGATATATACCTCAAATAAAGATGTCAAAAGCAGCGCATAATCATCCAATTCTCAATCATGCAAACCTCAGCCAAAAATAATGTTCCAACTACAACTCTCATTATGGATATCTAAGACATCATTCACCATGACATACGGCTTCAATGCAATACGATACAAAGAAGGAAATCTCACCTTAAGCGGTTGCTCTCTACACCGACAGTCATCCCAAAAGCTGATTGTATTACCATTCCCCACAACAACTGCCAACCTATCCCAAAAAGCTGATGGTATTTCCATTCCCCACTACAAAAGACAACTGATCCTGAAAGTCGCTCCACCCTCGCCGGATATACCGTCACAAACTCACCCCATAAGAACCACGAGAGCATCCCCCTCCATAACACCATATTTTGCCCCTATAATATCTCTCCAAAAACTATCCCTCTCCACTCCGAATCGCCACAACCATTTACCCAACAAGACCTTATTAAACAGTACTAGACTTCTCATTCTGAGACCACCGAATCCAGTAGAAGAACAAACTGCACGCCAGTTAACCAAAATTACATATTAAAAATGAAAAATAAAGTATTATTTAAATAATTGAATTGTAGTAAAGTTAAAATCGTCCATGAGAGTATTTGACGGTCTCAAACGAACTAAAGAAAGTAAAATTTATGACAGTGATTTAAGAGAATAAAATTGTACTCTCAAAATTTAACTTCTATGATTCAATTTTATTTTATTTTATGACGAAATATTATAAATGAACAATCATTTTTATACTACATTTGATACATATAATTAATTGCTAATACATTAATTTAAACACTCATTAAATTCCTAGATACATGAATATAAATAAATTCATTTATAATAATTCTAAATTCATGCAGATCAAGATTTATCAAGTCAAGAATAACTTGATGAATCTAGATGAATGTGAATGTTAATTAATTGATAATTAATAACATGAAAATCATACATAACAAGAATTTTCTAGTATTTATTACATATTAAAAATGAAAAATAAGGTATTATTAAATAATTGAATTGTAGTAAGGTTAAAATCGTCCATCGGAGTATTTGGTGGTCTCAAACAAACTAAAGAAAGTAAAATTTATGACAGTGATTTAAGAGAATAAAATTTTACTCTCAAAATTTAACTTCTATGATTCAATTTTATTTTATTTTATGACGAAATACTACAAATGAACAATCATTTTTATACTACATTTGGTACATATAATTAATTGCTATTACATTAATTTAAACACTCATTAAATTCCTAGATACATGAATATAAATAAATTTATTTATAATAATTCTAGATTCATGCAGATCAAGATTCATCAAGTCAAGAATCGTTGAATTTAGATGAATGTGAATGTTAATTAATTGATAATTAATAACACGAAAATTATGCATGACAAGAATTTTCTAGTATTTATTACATATTAAAAATGAAAAATAAGGTATTGTTTAAATAATTGAATTGTAGTAAGGTTAAAATAATCCAAAAAATGATTCTCACTTGATGTAATATTTAATATATCATAGATAAACACAGCTAGAAGATAACCAGATCCTGCAGTCTTGTACTTACGACAACGCAAATATGATTTCAGAAACTATAATTGATAAGACACACGTTTGGTGAATCGTTCAAAAGAACACACCTCACTCTTCAAATTAAACACGATTGGAATCAGCGGAATACTTGTAGGAATGAATTTATAAAGTCAAAAGGTGGCAATAATATGACAAATCAGGGCATGGTATAAAAATGCGTACTGATGCTCATTCAAAGACTGCTAATACGAGATAAAAATAATAAAAGATGAACAAAAGGGATTGAAATGCTCTATCTGGCAGTTCTTACTGAAGTTTCTTTGGCAATTCGCAAAAATAAAGCCAATTGCAAAATAATCCAACATTATATTACTTCATATTGAATTCAACATAGCAGTAGTTCCAACATGCAAGAGATGTTCTACAAAAAAGAATTCATTTGGCTAAGCGAAGGCATTTTTATGTATAACTAAAAGAAGTAGCTTCTGGAACCTATTCAACTGTCTGAAAATAAACTCTTTATAATTCTCATTTCTAATCGAGTAATGTTATTTATAGTGAGCGACTATCGTAGTCAGAAATATTTAATCACTTAATTTTCTGATCAATAATGCTCAATGTGGATGATTAAGTGATCAAATATATGCCACATAGGATTACTACTGTAGTCACTCACTATGAATAGAATTACTCTTTCTAATCCTTGTTTGAATCCCTGTAAAACATACTCATGGTTTTCTAAGCAATATCTACCTGCGTATAATACAAACATAACCCATATTTTCTTCCTGCCTAATTCTTCGTTTACTACTTCAAATTGTCGTCGTCTTCTTCTTTAAATATCCCAGCCTCATTTGAGACGAAAAGTTAAAAAAGAACATACTCGAATCATGTATGAACGCTATTAATCAAACACGTACATGGTCCGTTTGTCTTTGTCAAATGTTCACAATTATCATTAATAGTGGCAAGAATCCAAATCAACTGATAAGCTTAAATTAAGTAAATATAATCAAAGCAAGTAATTCGTCAACCTCATCACACTTACATCAAAATTAGGCACATAATTTTGAGCCCTGGTGTGCCCGTTTAGCTATTTTTTTGACCGTCTTTTCTTTAAAATTTTTAAAAATTAGGCACATAATTTTGAGACCTGGTGTGCCCGTTTAGCTATTTTTTTGACCGTCTTTTCTTTAAAATTTTTGTACTCTGACACGTCAGCTCTTTTTAGTAAATGGAACAATGATGGTAAGAGCTGATGTACCAATAGATTAAAAATTTAGTCAAGGAACAATCAATGAAACAAATAAACGGATTCGTGAGGAATGTCAGATTTGAAATCCTAACTAAGATCACGATTCCAAGAGGAAAGATATAAAATGAAATTTCACCTAAGAAAAGGAAAATAACATGGAAGAATTATCAAATCTACGTTCATGGTCAAGCAGTCACCCTTGGCATCTATAATCCATTGGAAAAGCTTGTGGGCTAATCAAAGAATTTTCTGACTTTTCTTTATCTTCACAGTGAGATATACCTAACATAAACATGCACCTTGGATAAATCAAACCCTATAAAAACACACTTTTTTTTTTAAGGTAATCAAATATTTTATTAATCAATACATAATACATAGGAAGTGTATTATCAAGTTAAATCGGAAAGTAACAATATAAAATTAGGCAACCCGTTTATATGCCTAATAGCCGCAACATTAAACCAAGTGTACAATGTAAAATAATCTCTAATCTGCTCTATTGTCCATGATTGGCCTTCAAAACATCGACTGTTTCGTTCTTTCCACACGCACCAAACAATACAGCTCGGAATAAGGTCCCATACAAGTTTGCTATCCTTGTTTCGAAACTTTCTCTTCCATGCCTTTAACATGTCCTCCATACGCCTAGATAACACCCAATCAATGTGTTGCGACATCAGAATATCGTTCCACATTAAGCGAGCAACATCACA